ACTCGCTGAGAAGATGAAAAGATTGACTTGTGAGTCGACTGGCTCTCGCAACTTATTTTATAGGCCCACCCTCACTTATCACCATCAGTCCCACACCAATGGACTGATGAAGTCAAAGGCCTCTACGTTTCTGAATGGAAGCGGGATGCATGTCGCATCCCATAAAGATGGGTTCAGTCTGTGTAAAAATTTCAAATACTCTTATCTTCTATACTATATATTGCATTAAACATTTTAGGCGGGTGTCAGGCTTTGAAAAGGGATAAGTTTTTCGGCTTAGTTAGATCAATTTCTCTCCAAGATGCGCCGCGCATCCCTCTCCCGCTCTGGTGACAACTGAATGAAACATGGCTGATTCCGAGGACCAGTATGAGCAGAATGAAATCCCATGCTTCGGGCTAAGGAGGGCTTTTGGTATCAAGATGGGTAAATAGCAGTGTGAGTACGACCCTCCCCCAAAATTTTTCCATACAGTGCGGGGTGGGCAAGGGGTATCTAGCGCATGCGAAGAACATGAAAAAACCAGACTCTAATCAAACTCTAGAGATCACAACTGAAATTTTGCGCGGCTCGGAAAAATTTCTCTTGAAGCCAGCCACATGCGACAGCATTACCAACGACCGAGTACCACCCCCTGTGGAACACTTCTACCGTTGCGGTACCCCGGCTCTGTTGCCGATCGAACGACACCGAAGGGATGGAAGTTTGGTTGGTTCGGGAGCCTCATTCTGGTTCCGAACCCCTGCAATGTGCGTGATAGACGGCGTCCACTTGTCTCTGACCCCCCGGCCCTCACTAACTAGGGAAGGTCGTCAGGTCGAAGTGGCCATTTGTGATGAGATGTAGATCACTAGACGTGGTTTTGGACGCTGATCTTGAATCTGCCTTCAAAATTTGCAAAGCGATTCTCTGAACGGAGTTATGGAGCCGCGTTTACCACGCAACAGGTCATGGGATCGGATCCCTGCTGAGCTTAACTTTTTTGCTTGTTGCGCAAACGTGGCAAAAAGTGATTTTGCCGTCACTACTACTTCAGTTCTCACCTGAGCTTGTCTGAAGAAAAGTTTGCCTCCATTTATTACTGCGCTTGGACTCCTTGTAGAAGCACTGTAGTGCACTGTAGTCTACAAGGAGTCCAAGCGCAGTAATAAATGGAGGCAAACTTTTCTTCAGACAAGCTCAGGTGAGAACTGAAGTAGTAGTGACGGCAAAATCACTTTTTGCCACGTTTGCGCAACAAGCAAAAAAGTTAAGCTCAGCAGGGATCCGATCCCATGACCTGTTGCGTGGTAAACGCGGCTCCATAACTCCGTTCAGAGAATCGCTTTGCAAATTTTGAAGGCAGATTCAAGATCAGCGTCCAAAACCACGTCTATGTTGATCTACATACTCATCAACCAAAGGCCACTTCGATTGAAGACCTTCCCTAGTAAGGAATGAAAATACCTGTGACATTCCAAACGAACCTTCAGGTCCATTCCCTTCTCTGTAAGCGATTTCCCAACTTCGAGGGGCCAAACTTGGTTTGATCGACGTACCCTTTCCGGTGTTGGTCCCGTATTACCTGATCATTCAGGTATTCACTTTCAACCCAAGCGGAATAAAATCCGAAGTATTCACAACTTTGACTTCCCCCTCATGATGTGAGGTTTAAGAGATAGACTGCAAGAAGGGTTTAATTTCTATGAACCCCTTTAAAAAATGCCAAAAACGGAATTTGTTGACATTTAAGTGAAATTCGAACATATGCCTCATGACCGTAGTCGCTATGTGTGTAAAACTCCATAGTGCGGCGTTCTGCGGCGGACGGTTGTAGGCGCGGGGGGGTGGTTTTGGTGACGGTGCCGAATCCTGTTCAAACGTGGTTGAGACAAGCAATTGACAATACAGTATCATATCGTTCGTATCGCTAGTTTCAAGCAATTGTTGTCGCGCACCCCATTAAAAACCGCAGATGATGGGTTTGCGCGGATGTGGCACCCATACTGCCTGACACGCCCCTTCATACGCAGCGAACAAGAGTGTGTAGTCATTATCACTGAAGTTAGAGGCATAGGTATTGATGCGGCCCTTTTCCCCACTCATTAAACGCTTGAAGTCGCAAACATCGATGGTAAACAGAACCCACGCCTCACTGATACGCCTCGACTGACTTCAGTGAACTACTATGAGGAGCATTCATACCTTGCGACAATGGGGGCAGTTCGGCAACGGAGGGGTGGGGACATTTTGCTCGTTTGCTGCTTCCGATCCGCTTGTCAACTCACCTAGAGAGCTATCTCATAAGCTTACAAGAGCTAACAGGTTTTGCCGAGGCAGCTCGACGAGCTTGCTCCACTTTCAAAAAAGTTCACAGGTTTTACCAGAGCGAGATTTGTAAATCGGAAACTATCTGGAGCAAACGAAATGCAAAAATTCCCCCCCCCCGTCCCCGGCCCCGTCGCCGAACTGCGTCCGACATTGGAGAGTCCGTAAAAAAAGATTAAATATGTATTGATTAATCCTCCTTTCCTAAGGTTGATCAGTTATGGGCACGCACGCATCAGTTACTATCATGTGCTTGACATGTTTGTCGGATCAAACGTTGATCAGTCCTGGCTGTACCGGTCATATTGCATGAAGCGTGTCAATGTCGGTCACTTTTCGCCCAGGAAGCAGGGCACATCGTTTGCTGGGGAATCCCCAATAGGGGGGATCGTATTCGACCGCCAGGAGAGGGGGGTCGTATTTGGGCTGGGAAAATTTATTTTGATAGTTGATTTTTTCTTCGCTTTCTCGCTTCTCGACGTTGTAAAGGGGGCCGGTGCGGTCGTTCTGGTCATTGTTGGGAGCGGGAGGGGTCGTACCAACCCCCGAAAAAGGGGGGAGGGTCGTACAGACTCGATTAAATCTCCAACCAATGTGCCCTGGCGAAGCTTTTTTGGTTGCAATGTGCAGGATTACTGAGCTTGGGCAGGACACGCTTACTCTATCCCACTAGTCTTCGGGATCACAAAAAGAAATTATTAGTTGAGTGGCAAGTCGATTTATAGGTCTATCACCCCTAACCTGTTCCACAGGAAGGCAGAAATGATTACCTTTTGTGTCAAAATAGGCGTATTTTTTTCCTCAGACATCTGCGATCGCCTTTTGTATTGGGGCTATTGCCTGAGAGGGAGCAAGGAGGTCATTCAAAGGCTTCTTGTCCAAATTAGGATTACTAAATTGCAAAACCCGCTCTTGCGCCAAGCAATAGGTTCAGGTAGCGCGGACCTCTTCGTTCCTTATCATGGTTGGACAATTTTCTCATTTGTTTTACGACCATTTCGCCCAATGAAACCTAATATTCCCTCCTATCCTCTGGCCAATTAAGCCCCTTCTTTTACTTCTGTTTCGTCAAATCTTCTTCTTTTTTTTACTTTCAATTTATTGTCCTATTAGATCGTTGACGATTCCCAATGGGCGGGTTCCAACAACAGCCGGCCTCTTTCCTAATATCAGTTACATTTCAACATTAGTTTACTCTGTAGCATGGAAAGTTATACGAAATGAACTCAAACAACACAAGAGTGATATTATCCAATATCAAGTATTATCAAGTTAAGCCACGAGTTCATTTCATTTATTCACATGTTTCTACAAAGAGTAGCCATCCTCATGAAGGGAGCTACAAGATAGGAGATGGATAGCAAGGCACACTTAATGTAAGTCCAAACTTTTGTAAAATTCAATTAGGTAAATAATTATAATGATAAGATACGTTAATAATATTAATAATTTTAAATAAAAACTACCTTCTTTTCTTTTAAAACATGATCCACTAATGCTCCTTTCGTTCATTTTAAAACATGAAACCTCTCACTTTCATAATATAACTTGAATCACTCATAAAATAACATAATAATACCACTGGTTATAAACAAATAGATCTAGTTACGGTCTTGCAAAGTCATCAATTGTCGTGTATCATCATCATAATAATTATTACCATATAAACTCATTGTTCCTTCTTTCCCTTACTGACGAGCACAGAAGAAGGATATACAACTCGTTTGGTTTCCGTCTAAGGGCACGTGCGAAACGGAAACCAAACTATCTCCTTATGTTGACCCCGTGTAATAATGATTATAGTTAACCAAATGTTTTATAGAATAAATCTAAATGCTACCATAACTTACTGTAATATATTTCAGGAAGCGTTCTGGTTCTCGAAATTGGTCCTTTGAAACGGGTGTGCGTGCTTGACTGGCCATGGCGAAGCATTTTTCTTGATTCACGACTCCATCCCTTCCCCTCCCCCCACGCCTCAAAGTTTCTTCTATGTTACGACTCTCTTCCACAAAAGTTACCGTTTAGCGAGGAGAGGGAGGGGGGACACTCGTGTTTCAGGAGCTAGATAGCTTTATCAGGCACCCACTAATAAGGAACATAGAGGTGGGGGTATAAGATAGAAGTGAAACGGGAAAAGTCAACAATTTTCTCAAGAAATATTGATAGACATTTTTTCGCGAGCCAAATAAGGCATCTCTTCCCTACAGCGACAATATGCGACCCTCCAATTAGTATTTATGATACTTTGTCTTAATTTGTGCCTGCCCTAAAATCCTTTTATTAGTCTCTTCCCGGCGCGCGTTTTCAATTTGCTTTTCTACAGTCCCACACTCATTGCGACGGATGGGGGTGGCAGTGCGGCTGCATTTGGTGCGGTTTGGCAAAGTCGTTCTGCACCAGTTTTTGAAGTGCATTACTGTATTATATCCTTCGTATTACTCGTTTTCTACCACTTTTTGTCGCATACGCGTTTCAACAAAAAAGGCTGAGAACGGCTTCAACAGTGTGCGCACTCCTTCTGGCTGACACGCCCCACCGGTCCGCAATGATGAGGACTGTAGGTTCTTCGGATTTAGCACTTATTTATCTTGTTTTTAATGTTCTTTAGTGATTGTTCTAGTGATTCCATTGAGAGCAGGGTTTTAGGGTCTGGTACATCGTCGCGACGAGCATCGTACACTATCAGTGCGATGAACGCGAACGATATATCGGTAACGGTTAGTGCACCGGCATCACCCCTTGCCGCTTCTCCTGAGCGTGTCCGCAAGTATGGGCCACGGACACCTGCTCTTGACGTAAGCTTTGAAGATTCGTAAGATTTGAAGATTCCTCTTTCGAAACTTTTTATGAAATGTGATCCTATTAAATAAGGCTCAAAATAACTATTTAGACAATTTCTGAAGTGGACTTGACTGGTCGGACAGTTCTCATCACGGGAACAACTGCCGGCATTGGTATGGAAACGGCTCGAACATTAGCTCTGAAAGGAGCCCATGTGATCATGGCGAATCGGAATATCGTTCTAGCTGAGGCGTTGAAGAATCGAATACTTGCAGAGAAGGTAAGATCGAATCTAGAATGCTAGCGTAGCTCAAGAAATACTGTGCGTGCGACACCTATCTGTATTGGCTAGGGTAGGCAGCTGACCAAACACAGTTATTACTTGTAGAATCGGCGAACCCTGAGCAGTATTTTTGATGAGGGGGACCACTCATCAGCGCTTCTGTATCCCTTGACGAAAGTTTTGTGGAGATTGTCTCTGCTCTGTATGACTATCCTTGAGCGGTTCTGGTTGTCTGCGCTCCAAAGACAAACTGTACATACACATCCGTGGATCCTGACCTTGATGTTGTGGGGTGAGTGGGTTCGCAGCTGCATCAACACACCGGCAGGGAACAGGGATAAAGGGTAGAAGTGGCCGTCTTCATACTCCGCCCGCACAGTCGCACGACGAGCTGGCACCTGGCCAGAGCACAGACAATTAGCCTGACCCTGACACGCTAATTGCCTTTGCAGCCTGACTTCTGGTTGTCCTCTACAGGGAATGGTTTGAACTTTCCATGGAACTTTGAATGGAGACCCAGGTACATCGATAGGGCCTAATGCTGATTACGAATATGATTAAAAGTGCTACGGGGACCTCCCAGACGAGATCTGGGTGGTCAAAGTTTGCGAAAAGCCAGTTTTGGCTCGTAAGCGCTGCTGATCGATGCCTCGGCAGTGCCACCGTGGCCTCGTGGTAATGGTCTCGCTTTCAAGTCAAACGCATGCGGCGGGTTTGCATCCGGTTGGCGCGAAAATTTTTGCTTCGCTCCCTATAAGAGCTTCAACTCTAATTTTCGAAATTCTTCCGAATTTACGGCCCAGCAGGGCAAGTAGATCAAGTACATCAAGTATACGACGTACTCGATCTAGTATGGATTTGGTCATATCTGCCCTCTCTGAACAGGTTACCCATCCGACAATTCAAAGTTTTAGCGAAAAACTCGTTCATGGGAGATTTCGACCCCTGAACACGATTATCACATCCTTCGACGAAAAAACGCTCATCTGGCCAAATTGCGATTCTGGGCAAAACTTTGAATTGTCGGATGGGTAATATGTTCAGAGAGGGCAGATATGACCAAAATCATACTCGATCGAGTACGTCATATACTTGATCTACTTGTTATTTCGAAAATTAGAGCGAAGCAAAAATTTTCGCAGGATGCAAACGCCACGCCGGCGTTTGACTTGAAAGCGAGACCATTACCACGAGGCCACGGTGGCAGTGCCGAGGCACCGATCAGTAGGCGCTTACGAGCCAAAAACTGGCTTTTTCGCAAACTTTGACCATCCAGATCTCGTCTGGGAGGTCCCCGTAGCACTTTTAGTCTGCATAGTCGTAATCAGCATCTCGAGGCTGCTGATCGGATGTACCGTAGTCTTCCATCTCGAAGTTCCATGGGAAGTTTGAGACGCGATTCCTTGGTTAGTACGCGTTTCGCTGTGGGACTGTCCTGTAATCGGATGGAAGTGGCCGCGACTTTAAGAATAGCGCAGCGTAAGTATGGGATGGCAGGTCGGTAACCCACCTTCGTCGACAGCCTCGTTCCCATGCAACCATTAGAGCAATTTAACCGCGCCATGGCAGAGAAACCGGAAGTGAGTGTACAGTCTTGGACTTCAAAGCAATTCCCCGCTGGTGGAAAGGCGGGTAAAGGCACATTTCCCGCTGGTGGAATAGTCGGGCCCGCAGTCAGACTCACCATTGCGTCATCAGCATCGGTACGCGCTTCTCCTCTACTCTCTTCGAGAGGAGAGGCGCACCAATGAGAGACCACACTGGTAGGCCCCGTTCCGCCCATTTTACAAGCGCAAAATGCGTCTTTAACCAAACAGTCTTCATAATGAATCCATGAATCAAAGCGATTACGCTCGCTTCTTAAAATATCCAGTTACATTTTATGATAGTAAGTGCTAACAACTTTTATCCTTTATCCTTAAGTGCTAACAACTTTTTTACAGCCGGACGCGAAAGTCGATTTGATCATGTGCGATCTGAGTTCCCTCCAGTCTGTACAGGCAGCCGCACAGGAGTACAAGGAACAGCATTGGTAGGGAGCATTTCTTTTTTGCTAGCAACATGCACCATTTTGAAAACTTATTAGTTAGACACTGCTGATAGCGCACTTGCCCGGAAAGCGTGAGGTGCGGGTTCGACTCCCGCCTGGGGCACGACTTTTGCCCACAACTCAGCATTCTTGTGATAATTGCTGATAATCTCCAGATAACTTCAAATTCTCTTCAGGCCTCTCCATGCGCTCATACTAAATGCAGGTGTCTTCATGCCAGCGCAAAAGACTACGATAGATGGATTGGAGACGTCATTCGGTGTGAATCACGTGGCTCATCAGTATCTTGTTCGGGAGCTTTTGCCGCTGCTGAGGCAGTGCAAGGCAAGGGTCGTCGTCGTCTCCTCACATTCACATAATCATACTGGGGTAAGTTTCACTATTCCACACTCAGGCCCAAAAAGGTAGCAGGGGGGGAAACCTGGTCACACCTGCTTTGCTTGTCTGGGCTCTCTAGGACTGAAGCACATGAGTAGAGAGGCGGAACAGTGTCTCGTTGAGAGTTCGGCATATAATCACAAAGGGGCACTGTTCAATTTAGACTACTCCAAAAGTTCGAAAAAAGCAGCGTAAGAGCTAGCCTACGACACTCCTGTCGTCTGCGCTCTGCTAAGGCTTAATTTGCGAGGAGGGAATCACTCCTGCTCCCGAGCTTAGCGGAACGCTACATGGCGCTGGCTCCAAACGGCGAATGTCATAGTCGTGATCGAGATCCCCAATTAACAACAAATGCAAAATAGAAACGGATCTGGAACA